GAAACTGAAGTGAGTCGAGTCAAAGAGCTTCAGAAGAAGCTGGAGCAGGAGATCACTGAGCTGAAGCTTAAAAATGCTGACCTGGTGCTGCTCTCATACACAGAAGATCACACCCAGTTTCTCCAGAACTACCCCTCACTGTCAGCACTCAGTGAGTCTACACACTCATCCAGCATCAATATTCGTCCTCTGAGATACTTTGAGGATGTGACAGCAGCTGTGTCAAAGCTCAGACAGAAACTAAAGGACATCCTGAGAGAGAAATGGACGGATATCTTACTGAGAGTTGCTGAAGTTGAAGTTTTGTTGTCAGAACCGAAGACCAGAGCTGAATTCTTAAAATATTCAAGTAAAATCAGACTACATCCAAACACAGCAAACACATATGTGTTACTATCTGAGGGAAAGAGAAAAGTAACATTAAAGAACAAACGACAGCGTTATCCCGATCACCCAGAAAGATTCACAGATTGGCTTCAGGTTCTGAGCAGAGAGAGTCTGACTGGACGTTGTTACTGGGAGGTAGAGTGGCAAGGAAGAGGAATCGATGTAGCGGTTTCATACAAAAATATAAGTAGAGAAGGGAAATCAAATAAATGTGCCTTTGGATTCAACGAAAACTCCTGGTCAATATCATGTCAAAAAAGAGGTTATACTCTTTGGCATAATAGTGAAGACACACCACTGCCAGGACCAGTTTCCTCCAGAATAGGAGTGTTTCTGGACCACAGAGCAGGTATTCTGTCTTTCTACAGCGTCTCTGAAACCATGACTCTCCTCCATAGAGTCAAGACCACATTCACTCAGCCTCTATATGCTGGGATTCAGTTCTTTTACTACCAGTTTTCTTATGAAGGTGGAGACACTGCTGAATTCATTAAACTGAAATAGGTTTTGTTTTACTTAAAGCTCCAGATTGTAAAAATACAGAGATTTTCTTATAAAAATGTTATATATTATACAAGTATTTTATTTATTAGTGTACGAACTGAAAGTCTTAATCTTTGCGTTGCCTTAGAAATTGCCATTAATAATTACGTAGGAGCGGGTCTCACATTTATGGAGGCTGACATCTTTTCATTGAGGCAGCGCAGAGTTGACAAACTAGCACCTGTACAAGTTAGCCTGATAAACCAGCCTAATGGGAGATTAAAGGTGTTATTTAGTCTGGCCCCGAAGAATCAGACATTGGAGGATTGTTGATGAAAACACCCTGTTGTTTTTCAAACCATGTCTGTGCCTATTGGCCAACACTCTGACCAATGAGCTCAACTGACTGTGACGTAGGAAGTGTGACAGAAAGCTGGTGGGAGAGTGTAAACAAACATTTTGGCGGTAAAACGGCGAATACGTCCTTCTCAAAATAGAATGAGCGTAGAGCCTCTTCCTCCTCACGTTTCAACAAAAATCCTTAAGTCTTATCCTTCCAAAACTTATTC